TCCGATCTATATGCAACTTACAGCTTCGCCTTTCCACCCTGAATATCCTTCCAATCCTTCTCCGTGAAAGGTATATAACTCTCCCCCTTAAGCCAGTAAATCTCTCCAAGACTTTTATCACCAGTTGGATCGACACCTGCTTCTCGCAGCGTATGTTTCTGCTGCTTCATAGTCCCCGTGATCTGTCCACCGCCAAGCTCACTCATGATCCTCAAGAACAACGGCCGGGCGAACTTGGGCAACTCAGCGCGCACGTGTGTTGCTACGTCCTGCATTGTTTCTGCTGTGGGATCAGAAGATAAATGGACCGCTGCACAACCTGCTCTTCCGTCGTGATGAGGGAGCGATACACCGTAGACGTTTGCTTCTTTGACGGAGGGGTGTTTGCATAGTGCATCGCTTACTTCAGCGGTGGAAACATTCTCGCCCTTCCAGCGGAATGTATCGCCTATGCGATCATGGAAGTAAATACGCCCATCACTATCCCATCTCACGACATCGCCTGTGCGAAACCACGTGTCTCCTTTGCTAAACACATCGCGTAGAACTTTTGCTTCTGTCGCTGCGCGATTGTTGTAGTAGCCTTGGAAGCGACCGAATGGGTTCCCTGATGGAAGACGGAAGAGCATTTCGCCTGGTTCGCCGGTGCGAGCTTTGTAGCAGCGTCCTGTATCGGGATTGCGCTTGGGCAGATCTGTTTCCCAATCAACTTCCACCAAGGCGACGGAGAAGCTCATGATGAGATTGTATACCCAGCCATTGCGACCGATTGCACCCGCGGCGTAGTCGTTTTTGCTCAGGTTGAAGGTCGCAAATGTGCCTTCTGTGGCAGCGTAAAACTCGCAGATTCCTTCGACGCCGAAACGTTCTTTGAATTCGTTCCAGATGTCTGGTCTTAACCCGTTTCCAAAGGCGACCTTGACGTTGTGCTTCTTGTCGAGACATTCACCTGTCTCAGGGTCATGCTGTGGTGGTGCGGCAAGCAAGTACCGCAGAGTCTCACCGACGTAGAGGATTGATGTTGCGCCTGAGTCGCGGACTTCATTCCAGAAAGTCTTGGTTGAGAATTTGCGGCCTAGGGCTTGGGTGCTTCCTGAGAGGAGAGTTGCGCTGAAGGAGAAGATTGTTGCGGAGGAGTGATATAGGGGCATTGACTGGACGGTTAGCTTGGTTTGAGAAGAAGGGGTGAGGACTTACGGAGTACATGATGTCGCCTTTTGAGCGATCAAGGAGTTGTTCAGACATTGAGCCAGCCACGATCAACTTTCCCCATGATACAATGGCAGCTTTGGGCATACCGGTCGTTCCAGAGGTGTAAATGAGAATAGCCATGCTTGAAAGGCTTTTCTCGGATCGATCGGAGTCAGGCGCGCGAATACCTTCTGTCGCAGCGATTTGTGCTTCCACTTCAGGAGTATGAACAATGAAGCGGATGTCCTTCAGCTGATCACGAACATCCTGTCCAACATTCTCCTCGACGTTAGGATCCACGATACACAACTTTGTCGTAGCAGCCTTCAAGCAATGAATCAACGAAGCACCAGAGAGGTTATAGTTCAAGAACGCTGGTTTTGCACCAATACTCCAAAGACCAAGCCATACAAAGATGTACGAGTCCGAGTTCTGGAAGTCGAGCGCAACGATATCCCCTTTCTCGACACCCTCGTTCTTTAACCACTGTCCATACTTCAGCACCTGCTCGTAGACATCTTTATACGACAGACGTTTCCCCTCAAATATGAGCAATGCGCGATCAGAGGTTGAAGAGTTAGTGGCTATGTTTTCGAGGAGGTAGTATAGGTTGAGGCGATCGGTCCATTCGCGATAATACATTCGTGATGCGGCGATGGTCACGCAGCGTAGGAGGAAGAGGTCGTACCATGTTGAAGATCGGGCGTTGAAGTATGCTAGCGATGCCGCGACTGCGGGAGCGGTTATCGAAAGGGGGACTACACCATTAGATTCTGATTGAGTTTCCACTTGGTAGATTTACTCACGAGGCATTGTTGCTTATGCAAAAGAAAGAGTTGTTGATGAAGAAAGGGTCAAAGTCGTTTGACGTACGTGGGTCGATGGTCTGATAGCGATAAGACAGACGGTGACGACAGCGCAACTCCACTAAAGCACCGACGACCGAGACTTTATAAACGCTATAAACTGCTTGGCATTGAGTCTGTTGGTTTATGGCTGCTGCAGTTTTTGCCAAGGGTACCAAGCAGGCTCAGCTGGCACTCCACGACGAGACAATTGCCCCATTTGAACTAGATTTCTGCAACCTTGTTATAATTGAGGTTGTATGCTTCAAACAGGTGATTGTGATGCCTCGGCTGGAAATGAGGCGTAGCAAGTTGATGCGGGGAGGATCTGGGGAAGTTTGTGATATCAGAGGATATACGGAGTAGTAAAAGATGGGATTGTGATATTATGGTTCCTGGCGATCTGTTAACGATAGCGCCCGTTGTTAGATGCAGTCAGCACGGCCTTTGTAGGGGTTGATATGTTGGATCGGCGCTGGAGGTAGTTGATCGATCACAGTGAACAGAAGGGCTAGAACCGTTATGAGGAATAGAGTTAGTTCTTCTGTTTAAGCTAAACTTGGTTCGATTGGTAGGGTCACAAAGACAACGTTGAGGCTTGGAGCTTTGCACAGATTGAGTCTCGAAGTAAATATTTGACTCTAACGTTCAACTTAACAAGTCTAGCTGGCTTCCTGAGCATTCGATCACTTGTGAAGAACAAAATGAACTTTAGAAGAGTAATTAATACATGAAATGACTGATCAATTGAAGAACAAGACGCTGTCCAACTGCAAGCTTAAATGAGCTACCTTAGATGGAGATCATCGGCATCGGGCCTCGGACTCCCCGACCTCACGTGACATCGTGATGTCGTGTAGCTAAGCTCCCCATCCCTCCACGCATCGATCCAAATCGACAGGGAGCTCTGATAAGAGCCTCTTCACCATCCCCGCCTCAACTCTTCAATCAAAACGGCATAATGGCGCCCGGCGACGTCAAAGACACTTCCGCGGCGCCGTCCGCTCCGCCCCCGGAGAAACAATCCGACATTTACAGGAGAACCCGTATTGTCATCTCCTTTTGGTTGATAGTGCTGTGTTTGGGCGTGCCGATATGGTGGAAGACTACTACGATATACCGGGCGAATCTTCCCCTCGATGGAATGATGCAATGGGCTGAGGGAAAGGTGAGGAGAGGCCTGATGTTAATATGGTGTTGGTACATGGTGGCTAATGAAGGGGTAGGCTTGTCGTCCTGTGTTCCCTCTTCAGATCTCTGTGAAAGCGGATGCGCTGCAGGAGAATGAGGCGCAGAACCTTGTGCGATTGACGCAGCATGCTCTTGACGACCACAACGACTTCTCTGGACATCATCTGCGTCTTCAACTTGCCCCTAAGGGGGGCACTTCGCCTTCACCCGCCGCCGACGATGATTCCCACGTCGCCCTTACGATCGAACTTGCGCCTGGCGAGAGCAACTCTGCTACGTTAGATCCTGACTCGGCTGTTCTCAATATCGCATACCCCTCCAACGCAATTCCTTCTGCGTCGTCATCGTCTTCCGCACTCGCAACATACATCGCAAACGAGCTGCAATCCACATTCTCCGAAGAACAGTCCATCATTTCATACCTCCTATCGACTTCCTCAGCCCCCGATGCTAAACCTCAAGGCTTGACCCCCGAGGTCGTCGATAGGTTGTCAAAGCGAACTACACGATCCCTACGATACTCGCCAACATACCATCTTACCTTCTCCCTATTCACAGCCGGCGCAGCACCGAGTACGTGGGATATTGAGAAGGCGATCGAGGAGTACATGAAGCCGATGCTTGATGTGCTGGGCCCAATTCATAACTTTACAATTGATACTCAGGTTCAGCTTTATGCGACGCCTGGTGCTCAATCGCAGGTGTTGAGTAAGGAGGACCTTGCATCTTTCATCAATGCTGCTGAATGGCCTCTGTCTCCTTCAATTGCAGGCGCTCCGACTGTCAACTTTGTGATCTATATTGGCGACCAGAAGATTGGCCTTGATTCGGAGACAGAGACGTCACAATCGTGGATGTTTCCTCAATGGGGCAGTGTATACCTTCTTTCGCTCCCCGAGACAACGGCGCATGTATCCAGTGAGACACTCAAGCAGCCAATGCTCACGTTCACTGGACATTTGTTGTCACTCTTGGGTACGCCTCAATCAGGTTCTCTCCCATTGCGACTATCCACCCTCTCCCGCATCCGCTCAGCAGATCTTCTCCTCCGCGCCTCATCAACCCTCGGTTCTCTCGCTCGTCTATCCCTCGCCCTCCCCTCAATCTCAATCCCCCACAGTGTCGCCGATGGAGTCGCATCAACAATGGAGCATCTTCAACAAGCTTGTGCCAGTCTCGGCGCTCCTTCTGGACTCTTGCACGCTAGAATCGCAGAGGAAGAAGCAGAGCGAGCGTTTTTCGAGAAGAGCATGGTTGGACAGCTATACTTCCCTGATGAGCATAAGATTGCGGTGTATTTACCGTTGCTTGGGCCAGTGGGTGTTCCATTGGTCATGGGACTTATTAATGAGCTTAGAGGGTGGATCAAGAGGAGGCGACAGAGGGCAAAGGATGCGGGAGAGAAGAAGGCCCAATGAGATAAGATTTGATATAGAAGATACCTATATATGAGCATTAATAGCATGTTTTCCCTTGCTGTCAGCCTTGCATGAGGCTATCGAGCTAACGGCAAGCGGGAGAATAGTATGTTTCTTATTATGTGTTTCACTGTCTGTCGTAGTGATCTTTAGATGTACCAGTAAGCCACGTGGTTGAGACGTGCTATTTTTACTTGTGATTATCCCGGATCTCGGCTCTTTTTCCCCGTCTGTGCGCCAGCTCTTGACGTAACGCGAGCTTATCTTAGACAATCCCATGTCATCCACAATCTTTCCCATTTCCTGCTTCTCCAACCCCAATTGAACCCTCTCACCATGTCATGACACGGCCACAATGCTTCCAGAACCAACACTTACACTAACCCTCCCCAGCATCCACGATGGTATCACCCTCGACTGTCGAATCTACCATCCTCTCTCACTGTCCGCCAACCCGAAAGCTCCAACATGGCTGAAACATGCTGCTGTCGTGGCTCATCCTTATGCGCCCATGGGAGGATGCTATGATGACCCTGTGGTTGGAGAGGCAGCTGCACAGTTACTACGGAAGGGGTTCTTGGTAGGGACGTTCAATTTTCGGTAGGTGTTCTACTGCTTTGAGGGGATTGAAGCTGATTGTGTAGAGGTGCACATGGATCTGCGGGACGGACTTCATGGACTGCGAAACCGGAACGAGACGATTATGCCACCGTTGTCGCTTTTGTTCTACACTACGTTCACGACCTCGATCCCTTCCGACCGCACATCGACAATACCCTCCACAGCGAACCCTCAACTCCGACAAGGTTAGAAGCACCGATTAGTCTAGACGCAGCTGTCACTTCAGCACCTCGACCACGACCCGTCTTGCTCATGGGCGGTTACTCCTACGGCGGAATGGTCGTGACGCTGATACCACCCCTCGATGCAATTCTCCAACCGTTCATATCTCCCATCGCAGGCTCCGACGCCGCAGAAGTTCGACTTCGAGCTGCGCATCTTGCTGAGCAGCAGAACATTGTGCTTGCGAGTGCCCGTGCCGCAATGATGGAGGGGTCAGCGCGGGGGAGGAGTAAGCGAAGTGTAAGAATTGGGGGCGACGAGGGTGGAAGTCCACGACGAAGTCATTCCAGTGCTCGGAGGAGCTTTTCGCTGGATGATGAGAGGTTTAGAAAGGGTGTTCATGATTTCATCGCCAAGGCGAGAGCGGGAAGACATTCGAGAAACGTTTCGCAGAACCCACCTACAACTGTCGTACCGCCTGAGCCGGGAGAGCATCTCCCTCGTATCACGGATCTCACCATGCCACGACCTGCTTACCTTATGATCTCACCCCCCCAAGGCGTCGTCACACACCTGGCGACCATGTCCCTTCTTCCGTCAGCATTGGTGAAGAACAAAGATCCGCAGGATGTAGCGGCTGAAGAAAAGCTGGTTAGGAATCCGTCACTTGTGATCTTTGGCGATGAAGATGGGTTTGCGCCTGTAGGGAAGTTTAGGAGCTGGAAGGCGAAGATGGAGGGGAAGATGGGATCGCAGTTTAAAGGGGCGGAGATTGAGACAGCGGGACACTTTTGGGTAGAGGAGGGAGTTTTGGATCAGCTGAGGGAGAGGGTTGGGGAGTTTGCTGATCAGTTACTTGCGGGATAGGAGATTTATGGGCGTTTTCTTGGGATGTTGGAGTAATGGGCCACTGGAATCCACGGACAGTTTGAATGGATAGTTGGTATATAGCAAGGGACTGAGTGGGAAATGAGTAATGAATCAAGAGACAATATTTCAATGGCATGGAGCTGGTCACTAGCAGAACTGCCAATAAACAATTAACAGGCAAGCTGATATGGTAAGTTGATCCTTAGATTGTCTATTTAGCAACTTTATGGTAGAGCCATGTACAACGAGATCTCGTTCTAATAAGTCTCTACTCCTGGTGCTCAAGCTCCTGCGTCTGCTCGGCCTTCTCAACGCGACGCTCGAGGTCCTGGCCAGCGGCAAACTTGGCCTCATCCATAAGAGGGACGAACAAAGGCGCCTCAGTGAAGAGATATCGCATCTCCTCAAGGGGTCGGTTAGCGGTCTCGGGGAGGATAGCCCAGAAGTAGATGGCATTGGTGAAGTTGCAGACCTAAATTGTCAGTATGTGCTACTAGTGAGACTGAGTAGAGGGGAACTTACGATGAAGAGGATATACCATCTCCAGCCAATGCCGTGCTTGTCATCAAGAGCAACAGAGGTGGTCTGACCGATCATGGTGTTGAAAGCAAAAGACATCATAGTAGCCAACGACACGCCCTTGGCACGAGTCTTCATATCGAAGATCTCAGCAGGGATGATCCAAGACAAGGGACCACATGTAGCGCTGAAAGAGAAGTTGTAGATCCATGTTACGACGATGAAGCCCCATCCAGCGGCACCGCCACCAGTGTTCTCCGATCCAGGAGGGAAGCTAGCCAGAAGAACAGTTGCGATGATGAAGGTGATGCAGTTGAGGATGTTACCGCCGATCAAAGGCCAGCGACGTCCGGTTCTGTCAATGACGAGCATACAGATGAACTGAGCGACCAGGGCGATGACGGAGGAGATCATCTGGTATCGAAGGGTCTCGTCACCCTTGATTCCGATCTTGGCGTAGATTTCAACAGAGTAATACTGAATAGCGCTGACGCCAGTCATCTGCGCAGCGACTTGCACAGAGATAGCAAGCCACAGACGTCGAAAGCACGACCTATCAGTGAAGAGCTCACTGTAGCTCTTGGCAGAAGCTTCATGCTCCATCGCAAGACGTTCCTGGATCTGATCAAACTCAGCCCTCACCCAGGTATCGTTGATATCACCATGCGCGTGAAGTTTCGCGAGTGTTTGAAGACCCTCGTCAGCACGGCCGTGGTCAATCAACCAACGAGGAGACTCGGGAAAGAAGAGGATCAGAGCGGCAAGAATCACGGCGGGGAGGTTCTGGATACCAAGGGGGATACGCCACTGGCCTGAGTTGTCGTCGCCGATGCCAGTGTAAGTTCCGTAGCCGATGGCTGTGGCGACGAGGGCGCCGATGCCGAGCATGAATTGTTGGAGGGCTGTTACGCGGCCGCGGATGTCAGGATGGCAGAGCTCTCCTTGATACACAGGGACGATCATGACGAGAAAACCGACACTGAGAGTGTTAGTTTGTATCATATGGGGAGGTTGTGGAATAGGGAGACATGCCCAAGACCAGCGAGACAGCGGCCCGCATAGAGGTAGTTGATGTGATCAGCGGCAGTCTGAAGACTACCACCCAGAATAAAGATCAAAGCACCGATCATGATGGTCCATTTTCTTCCGAGGCGATCACCAGCATAACCAGCGAACATGGCACCAAAGAAAGCACCGCCTGTGAAGACAGACACAACAGCACCACTGCACTCATTAGCTTGACTCAACATATAAGAGAAGGTGTTGAACGTACGTAGCATTAGGATCATCACCAAACTTGCTCTTAAAGTTCCCAGAGGCAATGACCTCGGCAATTACACCGAGATCATAACCGTAGAGAAGAGAGCCCAGAGAGGCAAACACGGAGACAAGGAACTGATACCACTTTGGTGGAAGAGCCATGATGTCGATGATGGGTGGATTTACTGAGCTGAGAGAGGATCTGGTGGTTTAGTGGGTGTATTTATACATGTTAGTCTAAGGTATCATTGCAAGGGGCCGTTCCGAGTACCCGAGCGTCAAGAGGAACTTTGGAAAAAGGATCATCGAGGCCCAAAGCAAAGCAAGTTTGAGTTAGGTACGACATGTTTTTTCCCATGGGGTGAGATAACTCTAGTTGGGAAATATGGGGTCTGGAGGTGGAATACAGCGGGTCATTGCGGGAGAAATTGCCCATGGGGATTCGATGAGGAGCGAAGCAAGCGAGGCAAGCCATGTTCCCAGTGGAGTTTGCTACCTTTCACCTGTCAACACGGAGATTATGAGACCCTGCGATCCCTTCCGATTGGAGCGCACAAGCAGTGCGGCTCTGTACCGCTACGCGTACCGGTTGGTTTCTATGACTGGCGCGCAAAGTTGACCTGACTTACACGGGTTAGGCGAAGCACAAACTCTCCAGTGGAGAAGACTTCCGGACTTGGATCTCCCGGCCGAGAATAGAGTCCACGGGTCTCGTGCTGCGGAGGAGAACAAGCGCGCCAATGGGAAGGGGGGAGAGGTGGGTTAAGAAACGGTTTATACAGGGTTTAAACAAGCGCGGTGACATGTTGCGCCTGATGGTTATTGTCTAAGGTGAGGGGTTCGCCGTACTTGACCGTTAGTATGGAGATGGCGAGGATCAGGCATAAATAAATTGGTGACTTCTCTCTCTTCTCTGCTCTGTAAAAAAAACACTGTTGAGTTTGTTCTTGTAAAAATTTCAGCAAAGATGGCTACGTTTACTCGCATTGCTGACGATGAGCGTCCCTCCATCTCGGTAGACCCCAGTGCCATCATCTCCAAGATCGAGGACAACATCTATGGCGGTTTCACAGAGTAAGTTCCAGCCTCACCCTCAGCTGATGAATCACACCCTGACGTGGTACAGGCACATGGGTCGCTGCATCTACGGCGGCATCTACGACCCCGGAAATCCCCTGTCGGATGAGAATGGTTTCCGAAAGGATGTCATTGAGGCCTTCAAGGAGCTCAACTGTCCTGTTGTGAGATATCCTGGTGGTAACTTTGTTGCTACGTATCATTGGCTTGATGGTGTTGGGCCTAGGGAAAAGAGACCTGCTAGGTGAGTGCCGTCTTTACATGAGGAGGAATTGAGGGAGAGGCTGATGGGATAGACCTGAACTTGCGTGGATTGGCACAGAGACGAATGAGTTTGGTACAGATGAGTTTCTCAAGTGGTGTGAGGTTGTAGGCACTGAGCCTTACTTTGCGCTCAACTTTGGAACTGGTGAGTCTCATATTCCCTTCAAAGAAACAGCTATTAACTGAGTTCAGGTACTCTCGACGAAGGTCAGTCTCACCATCACTCTCTCAACACCAAACACTGACTCTCTTAGCTCTCGCATGGGTTGAGTACTGCAACTCCGACAGGCCAACATACTACGCCAACCTCCGCCGTCAAAACGGCCGCGAGAAGCCCTATAATGTACCCCATCCCTCTCCCCCCTTCTTCCGTCCCATCACTAACACTCTCAGGTAAAATACTGGGCCCTCGGAAACGAGATGTACGGACCTTGGCAGGTCGGCCAAATGACAAAGGAAGACTACGCCAAGAAAGCCTACCAATGGGCCAAAGCCATCAAACTCCTCGATCCCAACGTTGAGCTCATTCTCTGTGGCGAAACGGGCCACAGCTCTTGGGACGCGTATGTTATCAAGGAGTGCATCAAGTTTGACATTCACGGCCTGGGCGGAAGCACGACTGCTAGTCTTATTGATCAGCATAGCATTCACATTTACACTGCTAGTGAGGATCACTACAAGAACGCCACTGGTAAGTTCTTATCTTCATGGTCGAGATGACAGAAATACTGACAAAGGTTCAGCCCCTCGTTCTGCTGAGCGTGCTATCGAGATCACAGCCGGTCTCATCGACCTCGCTCGCATCGAGAACAAAGTGCCCCCCTCCGTCCGCCGCCAAAAGATCTGCTTCGACGAGTGGAATGTATGGGATCCAGTCCGCGCGCCCGGCGAAGAAGGCGCCGAAGAGAAATACAACCTCTCCGATGCCCTCGCCGTAGCAATCTGGCTCAACGTCTTCGTCCGCCAATCCAAGCACATGGGCATGGCCAACATCGCCCAGAGCGTAAACGTCATTTCTCCCCTCATGACCACAAAAGACGGACTCCTTAAGCAACCGACCTGGTGGTCTCTCCTCCTCTACAGCAAGTACATGCGTGGTTCTACAATCGCTGTGAATGTTCGCGCTGGAGAGTATCAGGGCCCTACGCATCCGGAGTGGATCCGCGGTGCTATTGAGACGCCGTGGTTGGATGTTAGTGCTGCGCTTGATAAGGATGGTGTTGTCAACCTTGCTGTTGTGAATATCCATGAGGAGAAGGACTTTGAGACGGAGTTGAGGGGGTTGACGGGTGGTAAGGAGGTGGAGGTTCATACTGTTAGCGGAAAGGACGTCAAGGTTGTCAACACTGCGGAGAAGGAGGAGGTTGGTATCAAGGAGTCCAAGTGGAATGGCGAGGGCTTGTTTACGTTCCCCAAGCACTCGTTTACTCTGCTGCGCTGGAAGCTGTAGACTTGGATAGATTATAGAACAATAGATGCCAGTTTATGATCTTCTAGCTATGTAGGTGTGACCTTGCGCATGTTTTCATTACTACGTTTGACCTATCATTACGGACTAGCCAATGTTTACTCTGAGATTGCGAGCGCCCCTTGAAATATGTCAAGGATGTACGAGTTCATCAAGAAGCGATCCGATCTCAAGGCCCAGGAGTTGCGTATTCTTGATGCCATGGCGAGGACCAACAACTTTCTCAATGGTTTCTTGATCTTTCCTGCGTGCTAGGAGAGTATTAAGTTATATATACTAAATTCATCTTAATTTTATTGAACTTTATAGAGGTCATCTAAACTTAGGCCAGAAGCTTACATTGGGAGTCTTATTTCTCGTCTTCTTTGGGCTCCTCTGTACCATTCACAAGACTCTCCTTCTTCTCTCCCTCGCTCTCAGCCTCAATAACATCATTCTTAGCATCCTCCATTAGCCTTTGTTGCTCTTCAACCCACTTCCCGGCGGCATCAACAGCCCCAATCGGATCCTCGTGCATGAGTAAATACCCCTGGATGGCCGCCGGACTAAACACCAGCGAGGGAACTAGCCTTGTGAATTCCTCCGCCAACGCAGCTACGGACTTTGTTGTGTCCACAGACTTTTCCGAAGGTTCCGTGGCTTGTTCAATTGACCCAACCTCGTCGTGGGAGGTTCCGTACATCAGTCTAAACAGCTGGGTGATCGTTTCAGACGAAGCGAGACCGAATTCAACAGAGAAGTCGACTCTTCCAGGGCGCAACAGGGCAGGGTCGATATTTTCGGTGTGATTGGATGTCATCACCAAGACGCGACCCTCCTGTGCACCTACACCGTCAATAACGTTAAGTAAGCCTGATAAAGAGATAGGTTCACGCATGGGTTTCGGCGGCCCGTTATTCGTTTGGGTCTCCTGCTTCTTGCGCTTGTTGGTCAGACCCGCTGCATCGATATCCTCCAACAAAACAAGACAGGTCCGAGGCAAATCCCGGAACAGCGTTGCGAGACTGTCCTCCGAGAGATTGGGCGAGCTGAGACTGATCATGTAGATGTTCAGACCCATCAGCCCAGCAGCAGCAAGCGTCAAACTGGTCTTTCCTGTACCAGGCGGGCCTGAGAAGAGGTAGCCTCGTCGGTAGGGAATACCCCTCGTGGCGTACCAATTCTTAGTGCGAGGGTTCAAGTATCGCGAAAGATCCTTGATGAGGCTCTGCTTGATGGCCTCGTCGAGCGCAATAGTCGACATGGGCCGGGTTGGCTTGGACATACACTTTGTCCAAGAGAGTTCGTCGCCAAATGACTTGACGGCTCGGTAGATGCTTGTGCGGCCTCGTTGTTTTTCGAGGTATTCGATGCGCGCATTGTAGATAATGCGCTTGAGCACATCGGCATTCCGACCGAGGCACGAAAGCTCAATCTTCTCTGGGCGTCGCGAGAACGGCGATGATTCCTGGCTTTCGACAGATCTTGTGAAGGAGATGAGACGATTCTCATGCATGAAAAAATGCGTGCCCACAGAGGGAGTCCAATGCAAAGGTCTCGCATTGTACAGCGATATCTTAGACCTCAATTCATCAAGACTCGCAGTCGGGTCAACATCATCAACATCATCATCCCCATCGCCCTGATTACTCGGTGAGGGGATCAGCGAAAAGGGCTCATGGTCAAGGGTGCTCGACGCAAGAAGGCGATGGTTATTGCGCGAGAGCTTATGCCTAGCAACCCAGCTCATGACATAATTAAAAATCTCATCGTGCGCTTTGATCTCGACACTCGAGATGAACTGCGACTTTGCGGCGCCGCCAACAGCTTGGAAGAGATAGGGTGTGAGGTAGAGAAGGAATGCGACGGACGGGAGGCTTGTGCCGCCGGGGAAGAGGGATTCTACTAGGCTGCTGACTGAGCCTAGGGCGAGGATGGTCTTTGTGCTGGTGGATGTGGTGTTGGTGGCCATGATGGATGATGCTGGGGATGGGCTGAGGTCAAGAGAGGAAAAGAGGGTGATTATATATCTATTCTGGCTGCCTTTTTTTCGCCATTTACTCACTCACTCACTCGATGCTCGGCGCATTTTATTCACTGCCTCTTTTGACGTAGTCGTTGGCCAACAAGTCTCACCTGCATAAGGCGATGCATCACGGTGAATTGACCCCTGAGGTGACAAAAGAAACACCCGATCTACCCTAAGGTTTGTCAAAGATCTTACAATTTGAGGACTATTCCATAGATTTCTTGAGAAAAGGCTAAATTCAGAAGATATCTTCTTCTCCTTCTGGCTTACATTTACCTCACTGTTTACTTAGTTGATATAGATACGTCTCTGGATCATATGAACATTGTAAATCCTCTAGACTTGGATTTCTGTCAACCTTTGCCGTCCCATCCAAAGAGGCAACCGTTAATGCAGCTGACCAACGGACCTGCATCAACAGCCACTGTGCCCTACCATTACTGTCCCTGTAGAAAATAATAGTGGCCCACGGTTTGCCTCTTTTTACAAAACCATCAAAGCCATTCCGGTAACTTGCATCAGATCCTTGCTGATCGCAGCAGAAGGGGGCGTGTTTTGCTAAGACAACCCCGCTCTAGAACATCACGAGCTGCCTGTCGGTGGAGTTTAGGCAGATGAAGGGTGTTGAAGAATCTGGTCAGCCTTATCATCGCAGTTGAAGAAGACTGGGAGGCGATGCGATTAATTGGTCTGCTTTTTGGAGATGGTGTTTTGTTGTCTTGGCGGAGTCATTAGATTGATGCCTACCCTAGGCCAGCTGGCGAACCAGACCTTAGGGGCTTTTCAACGACGGTGAGCTCTTTAGAGATGGAGTCATAAGTGGAAGATTGCTCGTGTGAAATCTGGAGCAATACGTAGTTGCCTAACCACAAAACTCAATGATATTCTGTGACCCTCAAGCATCTAAACCTTTGAGCCACAGGACCGCCAAGAAAGCAACAGTTGACCCGCAATGATCTGAGCTGTCTGAAACACGTTTCAACCTCTGACGTCGCTACGTCATCCCTTTCGTAACCGCCATGAAACATCGTCAACCTCATAAGACGCGAACCTTAAGGCGCTCATAATAACACCAACAATATATACTTCACAGCCCATCACGCAGATGCTCAGTAATGTAAGAAAAAAGAGAAATTAATAATGGTATTTTCCAAAACACTGTGGTATCGGCTGGCTTTTCAGCCATGAGGTCTTGCAACGCTCGCTCCATTCAATAACAACACCCAAACACACTCGAACCATGACCATAACCATGACCATAACCATATAGAAGAGAAAATCTCAGTACATTAACACAATACGCGCTCCAGTGCGCCTATACACGCTTTTCATGATTGCCAGATCATCTGACTATTATACACTTAGGTCGTCATGACGTGATCCAGCACGACATCAGGAGAGTTCTATAATCTCAGTTAGTTAAAGTGTTCATCCCTTAATGGATCAAGATAACTTACCTTGTTGACTTCACCGACCACATCAACACCACTATACCGCAGTTTGTACAGCAAGCTATCCAGTCCCAGAGGACCCAACCTCAACAGCGAGGCTATAAAGCTGTAATACTGCACATTGCGACAAATTCCCCTCTCCTTATTCTGCAGCTGCTCAAACTCAGCATACTCCTTCTCAAGCTGCCCTCTAATCTCAATCTTCCTATCTGTCGCCTTTTTGAATTCCTCCTCGATTTCTTTCTGCACATTGCATATGGTGGTCTCGCAATGCTGCAGCCTTGAGTTGTTGTGCATCAGAGTCCGTCTATATTCATCTGACTCTGGGTGAACGTTTCGTCGTTCAAGGTTTTCTTTGAGAAATGCCAGGCCGTCGACGATCTCTGCCTTTCTTGCCTGGAAGATCTTGTAGTTCTCGCACAGGGCTTGAATTTTTCTGTTGGGGCCTTGTGTAGCTGCCATGGCGGACTCTGTGGCTTGTACTTTGGTTTTTGAGGTTGTGAGGAGTGGCGTGAGCTTTTCTCCTTCTGATTTTTCTTGGAGTTTTAGGAGTTCTAGGCTTTTGATGATATCCTCAGGAGTTGAGGGGATTGAAGAAGTTGATTGTGGTTGTGGCTTTGATGACGAGTGAGTACGTGTTGACTATAAGTTTCCAAAGAGGTTATACTTACCGAACTCGAGTTTGAATCTGTAACGTTTTCAGCAACAGGTTCGTGGACAGGCACATCAGAGTCGATTTGCATCTCTGTCTCTACTGACTCTCTGACGTGAGCTTCAGCCCGTTCAACAGTTTCAGAAGGCTCCTCAGGTTGAGGTTGCACCGAAGGTTCGGACTCCATGCCTTCAGGCTGCGGCGATGGTTTTGATTTAGGGGACTTGCAGTCCTCTCCCTTATCGGCGCTGGAGCTCCTGTATTCAGGAAAATCTGATACTGTTTCCACAAACATAGAGTCATCTTCCATCGTCGCGTCCACTTCATCTTCGTGGACGGTCGGACATGGTGACTCCGCACGTGTAGCCCCTGGAGAATCCGCCGTGACCGTCGTGACACTCGACGCCCTGGAAACAGGAGAGGACGCCGATGTGTAGTCGGACACAACCGATGGGGAAGACGGCACCGGAGAAGCCCGTGACACAGCATTGGGCGTCTCCGGGGGCGTATCCTCAACCACGATCGGTGTCGCGGCGGTATTCTCGCAGGGCACAGACACTTGCTGTTGCTTCTTTTCTTTCTTTGTATCAAGCTCGTAATACCCGAGGGCATTACTCAGATCATCTCTGCTGAGCTTTGGATTGTTCTTATCCCTCTCCCTTGCGGAGCGAATCAGACCGACCTTGAGAGGATGGCATTTATCGCCGCAAAGATTGAACCTGCCCTGATACCCCTTGATCAGATCCCGCAGGTCCCTCATCATGGCGATAGTCCACTTCTCGGGCTCAAAACCTTTAGTCCATTCCCATGGCCACTGGGTTGAGATGATCTCGATTTCTCTTGCGAGGACGTAGCGAGGATCTGGAGGAGGCGTTTTCTTGTCAAGCTTCAATCTGATCCATTCATCTGATAGAACCTTTGGCTCCCCAGGTGTGGGGTGATATTGTAGAGTTTCGAACGAGCTGATCATACGGTGAGTTTAATGATCCGCTATATAGCGAGATTGGCAGGAATGTCTTGGTTATTTTGATAAAATACACACTACTTTCTTACACTATGAATTCGCGGGCAGCTAGCGCGTTGTTGTCCGTGTTTTATTTGCTTCCCGAGACATGCCCAGCCGTACAGTGCGAGACTGGCTTATCTATTTGGGGAAGAAGTAGGCGATCATTTGGTGAGTGACACTAGTGGTCTGGGAAAAAGAAAAGAAAATATGATAAGAAAAGAGGCCTGAGCGAAACACCCAAACTTGGGTGAGAATAGGGGGAGAGAAGAGAGAAGTAGGTGACGTTATGGAGTATTTTGCGGGCGCCTTTTGTTGGCGCTTGATGCTGAATGTTGGATACAGTGTCTATGATACTGTGCAGACCAAATCTGGAGAGTGCCGCATTCTTGGAGATGCTGCGATAAGCGAAGACTCATTGCATATCATCAACCTTGAATGGAGATGCACAGGATTGTCAGCATAAGCCGAGTTATGCTATTCCTCAGCCTCATTCATGATACGGATACTCTCCGCCATCTCAACCAACTCAACACCATTCCCCTCCAGTCTCCCCAATAACTTGGCCATCCCGCCAGGCCCCAACCTCATCAGCGTCTCGACAACACTGCAATGTCTAACCTCCTCCAGAACCTCCTTCACACGTCCTTCCAGCCTCTTCTCCTCATCTGCCAGGTTAACGTCCATCTGTTTAATCTGATCTAGCTCTTTGTAAACATCGGCCTCTGCCTGCGCAATTAATTTATCGCATTCTTCGAGGTCTGACGTGTACCTCTGCAGTCTCTTTGCGAGCTCGTCTTCTTCCATCCTCATGACTTCGTGGTGGTGTTCCATAAAGTTTCGAGCTTTGAGGATCTTCTCCCGTTCTGTTTCGTAGGCCTTCACGTCGGAGGTCAATTTGTCAACTTTTTCGTTTATGTGTTTTATTTGTGCTGCTTCACTTGCTTGGATTGAAACTGCGATCTCGTCCAGTGAATTGGTTACCTCTTCGAGCTCCTTTTGCTTTTGGGCGTGCAATGATTGCAATGAATTGGTGATGCCCGCGATGGTTTGTGGGCGAGGCTCGGGAGGCTCCGCCGTTCGTGCTCGCTTCGGGCTCAGCGAAGGTGACGAGGGTGTTCTCGATCGCTTTGCAGGAGTCGCAATGTCGGCATATCCATCATCCTCATCCTCGTCGTCAAAATTGTCATAGCCTATATAGTCTAGCCATCCATCCTCGTCTTCTTGCACGTCCGTGCTGGTTGAGCGCTTCAGTCACGTCACTGGTGTGTGAATGACATCGCGTCTGGCGTTATCGCTATCAGCGAAATAACGACATGCGTCCCTGATATCGCAGTTCTTCAAATGCGGGCGCCGTCGATCGCGCTTCATTGCGCATTCGCGCAGATAATTCCTGACAAACTGAAAGTCGTTCTGATGCTCATGCGCCGGAAAGACTCGATGGATAATGTAAAAGAGCACCCTCATACTCTCCAGGATCTCGATGCCCCATTTCTGAGGAGCAAAGCCTGCGACCAAGTCCCATGGCCACTGGCGTGACAGACGGTATACCGACCGAGCGGCATCGCCGACTCGCTTTCCCATTTTCACGGATGTCCGCAGTCGCCAGCCCAGCTTCAATGCGATGCGTTTGTCGGTCATTATGTGAGGAGCAGTACTGCAAGGCCGCCCACGAGGCTTGGAGCCAGGAAGCTTCCCGCGCAATACGGATGTTGACGACTTTGGCGGTCCTCCCGACGCTTTGGCTGAGTGGAGGGAAGCATCGAGATGAGCCCAATTTTTGTATCGGCGAGTTCATCATGGTCGATTATCTGCGAGCGACGAAGACTCCGACGCGTCGCAAAAGTCATTGCGCGCTCGCGATTGTGCCGATGAGACTTTTGGAGAAGAGTCAAGTTGATAGATGGAGGTCCCCTCATTAGGCCTGTTTGCCTGGAAAGGCTGCCTACGGTACCAACTGAGTCAGACAGCGTTCAGCATTCTGACCCCTATAAATCAGCCACCAATTTTATTTCCCCAGCAACTTGATAAGGTCGAATAGTTTCAATCAAGTTGAGACATGTAAAAGGAAAGAAAACCATCAGGTCGTGGTTTGAGGGTCTATCTCGGTTTGTGAATTCACTTTGCTATCAGATGAATGCTTCGAACCGTGTTAGGTGCAGTCTGTAGCTAAGGTAGCGTCGCTTGTCTTAGTGGAATCTACGGTGCTAATGATCGTGGAAAACGACTAACACGGATGAAGTGAAGGGGACAAGCCTTCTACCGGGATCAGAATGGCATCTTATCTTATCATCCTTCAACATTTGAGAAACAGGCAAAAAAAATAACAATATCATCTGTTGTAGAACAACCTGAAACATGCCATCTGCCTCTCTCCACGCCCAGTGACCTTTTTCAGGGCCCTTCCAAGCGCTCTTCGTCCATCTTGTACTTCTTCTCCCAATCTCCAAGCGGCAGTACACCTCCCAATCAGACATCCCCAGACCTCCCAAAATAGACACACTAAACCACTCCCGGCGTCGCCTAATACTTTAAACGCGCGCCTCCAACACCCGTGGCCAATTACACGACCCCTCCATATCCACACTACCTTATTTCTGGAGTCTTCTCAACACCAAGCCCTTTGTATCGTCCCTCTCTCTCTCTCTGCGTTCGCTCAGCTTGTGTCTTTGTTTCATCTGCCGGTGCAACTATGATGCGCATCCTTGTTTTCCGCTCTTAGTCTTGTTTTTCCTTCCCGCGCTTGTGTTGCGCTCACTCCATGCAGAAACCCCGTTGTAATTTCCCCAGGCGCCCTCATGGATCATCCACATATGCAAATCGGGTGGTTCTCAAGATCTGTGTTCCTGCTTTTAGCTTTCTAGCTTAAGTAATTTTTTCTTGCTTGTGCACATACACGCCCTGGAACGTAGGGCGCTTGCTCAAACTTGGTAGTACGGATGAACCTCTCTCCACCACGATATCTCCATCTCGACTGTAACCGCCCACTCCCTTAACCGCCCATGGCTCTTCCAAACAGCCGCTTTGCTGAGCCAATATCAGCAACCCATTCATGAGAAACTGCTTCTTTCAGACACGAATGTGCTGTTTCATCGTCTCTGGATCTTGTTTCAGTCCCAGAGGCGCCCACCTTGAGATTGGTCTTTGTCCTCTCCTCGAGACCTTAAAGCTGCTTCATATCCGGCCTTCTAAGGACCTGTTCTCCATTCTTCAGACAAAACATCACTTTTCCATCTTTCCTAGGTTCAATTTTTCCTTTCTTCTCTCGTTGTGGTTCTATCTTGGCGCTATCTCATCTGTCGCTTCTTGACCCGTCGTGCTTTAGTTTTCATTGACCCTCTCTCTACTACTATACTACACTTGGAGTTCTCGCTTCGACGAGGATCCGTTTTCTTTTTGGGCCGTCATCTTCAAGACCGATCAAGCATTACCAGGCCGGTTGACCCGGACCTATTCCTCTTTCTACGCTTAATCCGTAATCTTGTTACAGGATTCACCTTGTGAATCCCCTCACTTCTCGTTTCTACACCCCCACTACTCTTTCTCCATGATGCCTAAACACTCTCGAGCTGCGAGCTCATCTCAGAACCGCTACAATGCGGGTATCCCAGTCTCTCTCGCCCCATCTCCTCTATACAACCAGCAGCGCATGACCATGCCCAACTACTACGGCATGGGAACCACTGCTTCTTCTTCTATCCCTCTTCAGTCACAACCTCAACAACCTACATACGAATCCTACGCTACAACCTCGGCACCGCCTGTCTCTGTCCCTGCCCCTGTTCAACAAAGACCCAGCTCTGGTGCCTGGGGAGCTGCAGATGACCAGCAACTCCTCACTGCGAGGATGCAAGGCCTGAACTGGCAGCAGATCCAGTCGAATTACTTTCCATCCAAGACTCCCAATGCCTGCCGCAAGCGTCATGAGCGATTGTTGGAACGCAAGGGTGCTGATGATTGGGACAATCTCAAGCTTCAGCGTCTGGCTAAGGAGTACATGGCTATGAGAAAGGAGATCTGGAGTGGTCTCGCAGCTCGAACGGGCGAGAAGTGGAACGTAGTCGAAGCCAAGGCAAGTCATAGTCTTTTACTCCTCTTGTGAGAACATTTACTAACATACTCTACAGTGCATGTCGAATGGCCTCAAGAATCTGCAAAGCGCAGCCCGCGCCGCAGCCCGCCGCGACCGTCTCGAGTCCGGCGCTCTCTCAGGGTATGACGACGACAGCGGCATCTCCGGCATGGGCCTGACACCGGTTGACGAACTAGACGCATCCTATAGCAGCCCCGAGACCACCGCCTCGTCCGTCGTGGCCTCGGCCAACACGTCCTTCCAGCAGCTCCAGCCTCACCACATGGCCGCTGCCGTCCAGTACAGCCTCGGAGCCTACGCGCCAGGCTACGGCGGCCACGGATACTCCTCGAGCGTGAGCTCCCAGGCGAGTGCGGGTCATCCCTACGGCCATCATGGTCACAGCCAGGGAAACAGCCCGCAGTACATGACGCAGCGACCGCAGAGTTCGGATATGGGCATTGGGAATCTTATTAACCGTCCAGGAAGAGGTGTTTAAACCTCACTCCCTTCTGTCTTTTACACGTTTGTTTCACGACTTTTCAACAATGCCTCATTGGAGGCCCTACCCACCCTCGCCGTCCATTCTTTTTGTCAATCCTTATAATCCAGCATACTGCATGGCGAGCAGCAAGGGTTCACGCGGTGTTTGGCGCTTTCAAGGCAGTTATAACGACGATAACGCAGGATATTTTGCTCTATGGGCGTTACTTGCTTAATGTTTTTACTAGTATTCTTTCTTTATCTGTTTGTTAAAATGGTGGTCAGGAGGAGTGGGAATGATCATGGCACATTTCCTTTGTATAACTAGAGATAGAGATACCACGACATGAGGTGCATGAGATCTAGCAGCGCATTGTCTTTTGCAATCTATTTACACATTCGCTATGAAGAAGTCTTTTGTCTTTTATGGTTCGCTATTAGCACAATCTACAGTGATGATGTATGAGTGAGTTTCTGACAATTGACAAAGCCAAATACGACAAATCTATTTCCCACCACAGATACAATTGTTGTTACATATTCATTCGTTATCCTACATGTCACCGCACAGGCTTATCGTGCTGCGACTGGCCATTGGTACTCTCCGCAGCCATGCTTATCATCTCGTCCAGTTCTTCCTCCTCCCACTCTCCCTCCTCTTCGCCAAACACACTCCTCCAAACTCTGCTCCACATTCCTTTCTTGTGTGATAATGCCAGGATCATAATGCCAGGAAGATGCCATACACTAGCCCAGAAAAGACTTCTCGCGCTGCCTTGGTGACCCTCAAACCGCCAGAAACGCACAGCTTCTTTTATGAGCCAGCCATTTATTGGTAAGCTGGTTACTGCAAAGGACCACTCTGTTACTCCTGCGGCGCAGAGAGATACACAGAGGGGAATGAAGATGAAGCTGTAACGCAGAGCGACTCGGCCGTTTCGTGCGGGATTTGTCCATGCTAGCATTCGAAGACCGGCCTTTTTGTACTCTTCGCGAATGGGCCAGCTGAGCGCCATAAAGTGGGGGAATTGCCATGCGAAGAGTAGACCAGCCATGACCCAGCCGCCAATGGATGAACCGTCGGGGGAGAACAAAAGCTCACGCCATGAACCGTCCTTTGTAGCAGTCTCGCCAGCAGCCGCAGCCCAGCCCATCAGAGGAGGAATGCCGCCTACTACCGCACCGATCCAAGTATTAAAGACCGTCACAGCCTTGAGAGGTGTGTACATTCCAGCGTAGATAACAATATTGGCGAACCCAAGTCCGGAAACAGTGGGGTTGACACCAAAGTACAAGGCGCCTGTACCCAAAGCTCCAGCCAAGACTGCGAACAGAACCGCAGCTCTTTGAGAGATGAGTTTTCGTACGAGCGGTCGATTTCGAGTTCGAGTCATCTTGGCATCTGTCGAAGCCTCATAAAGCATATTTAGAGCATTCGCGCTAGAGGAACATAGTGCCGTGCCGATTGTGAGGAATAATAATGTTAAAGGACTCAAACTTGGTGTCTCGGTCGTACTCGGCGACAGCATTTCGGGAACGGGGTATAAAGCGTAAGTAGCCATGCCGGTAAGGACGACGAGCATTGTTAATCGAGGTTTCGAGAGGGAGAGACATGCGGAGAGGTAACGGCGGAAAGAACTCGTTTGCGAAGCGGCGTGTGAAGCGAGGAGGGATGAAGCATCGGGAGGAAGTGGTTTTTCGCCTCGAGCTGCGGCGGCCGCAGCTTCAGCAGCAGCCTTTTCCCTCCGCTGAGCCTGTCGTCTTCGATGCGGTGCTAATCCCTGTTCCGGCTCTGTCTGTGCAGTATTCGTAGAAGATATCGTAGCCGCCGAAGCCGACGTTGATCTTATGCCATTGGCACGCCGTAGTATCACAAAATCGAGACATGTCGATCTATCAAACAATGTATTCGAGAGGAAAAACGAAGAACCCTTCCACGGGGCGGCAGCGAGTATTCTAGGCGGCTGGAAGGCTGCGGCGGAGGACATGCACCGTCGGCTGGCGGGTGCGGCTGCGTTGAGGAGGATCTTCTCCGCGGCGGGGAGGAGACATCGTGGTGGTCGCATTATGGCGTGGAGGTTGCGAT